CACTGGAAAATATGCATTATCCAGCATGCACTCTGCACTCTTGATGATATTGACTTTCTTCATACAAGAATTGCTGGAAAGCAACCTGGCCAACCTGATATCAGCAGTAGCAATTTCCACAATGTGTCCATTATTGTAGGCCTTAACACTGAGAAAGACCAGATTAACCATCTCGGCAGTCAACAATTCGCTGAGGAGACAGGACAGCAGCTTACCCACTTCTATTCTATTGATACTATGAGTGATAATTCTCAGGCAGATATTGTTGAACTCTGCTTGATGCGGCAAAGAAAGCAGAGAAAGCAGGTATCCATTCCAGATAGACTCCAAGATGTAATTTGGAATTTAAGACATTCTGCTACTGAAGGTGTTGCTGATAAGCTATTGCTGTGTCTAGGCATGCCTGTGATTATTCGCAACAACAATGCTACCAAGCTGTGCATCACCAAAGGCCAAGAAGGTTTTGTAGCAGGCTGGCAGTCTGGTGTAGGGCCTAGTGGCCAGCAGATTTTGGATACCTTGTTTGTTTGCCTGGACAATCCAGCCTGTACTATTCAGCTGGAAGGATTGCCTGAGAATGTAGTGCCACTTACAAGATTATCTGGAAGTGTTGAATGCAAAGGTTTGAAAATGCCATTGACAATTAATCATTCACAGGTTTCAATATTGCCCAATTTTGCAATGACAGACTACTCATCTCAAGGAAAGACCCGAAAATTCAATGTTGTTAATCTAAACAGCTGTCGTAACCACATGGCATATTATACAGCACTTTCTAGAGGGTCTACTGCAGATGGTACAATAATTATTCAGGGATTTGATGATGAGTGCATTAAGGCTGGAGCATCAGGCCATCTAAGACAGGAATTTCAAGAGCTTGAACTACTAGATGAGATTACTCTGCAGAGATTTCTAGGAAAGCTCCCAAAAGAAATCAATAGATCTCTCCATAAAATTCTTCTCAAGCAGTACAGAGAGTTGAAGGGACAAAACTACTGTCCTATTAAGGTTGATTCTGCTCTACGATGGTCCTCCTCTGATCCACTGATGGTAATTGAGCCTGTCAATGATGCAAAATGGACTACTGCTATCAAGGCCAGTAAAGACTCTAAACAAATGCTTGCTAACTACATTCCTGCTCAAGGATCCAATCCTATTACTGCAGCAAAACAGACTGTGAAGCGGAAATTGAATTCTGACAACGATACTCAACCAGCTAAATGGCAGAAAACAAAGAATAAGTCTCAGGAAATGCCTCTTGGCTTGAAATGGGACTCTGTAGACTATAGCTGCTCATATGATTCTCTCTTCACTATTCTCTTTTACCTCTGGTCTGGAGGTCCAACAAAGTGGTCATTCCATCTATCAAAATATCTTCCCTATGGCCAGCAGCTTTCAAATGGATTTTCAGAAGTTATACATGGCAGAGCTGGATTTGAAGAAATTCGTGACAGAGTCAGAAAGAATCTACATACCAGAAGTCCTCAAGCATTCCCTTATGGGATGACTGGAACAGATGTACATGAGTTGGTAGGCACACTCTTTCAAGATGGACAACGGCTTGGGACTGGACAAAAAATATGCAAGTCTTGTTCTTCTACTACAGAGTTGGATACTGCTCCTCAGAGTCATATTTTTATACAGTCATCAGCTGACAAAACTGTGAGTGCTACCTTTAAAAATTGGCAGGCCTCAGAGGAACATTGCAAAACTTGTGGATCAAATGCACAAGTCCAGCGGCTATACAATGTACCTCCAAAGATCATTGTATTCAATATTGAGGTTACAGGAATTGCAATTAGCAAATCAGTCAAGTCACATACTATTGATGGAAGAAAGCACATTCTTCCACTCCGAGGTGTGATCTATGCTGGCTCTAATCATTTCACAGCCCGTATTATTTCAGATATAGGAGATGTCTGGTATTATGATGGAATTGAAACTGAGAGAAATTGTATTCTGGAGGGTGCTGTGGCAGAATATACTGATAAAAAGCTGATGAAGTGCAATTTGAGGCTTGCTGTGTGCGCCATTTATGCCAAGGCATAGGTATGCTATTAGTAGACTTGCTGTATGTAGATAGTAGGGATGAATTAAGTAGCACAATAAAAGTGATGGATAAAGACATAAGACAGAAAAAAAGAACTCATAACTGCCATGCAAAGCAATGGCCCACAACACCAAGTCCCCCGAAGGGAGGAACAACCCCACCCGCAACGATTATCCGACACCCAAAGGATCTCGGTTGAAGCCAAATGCCGTGGGGTTGTACTTCATAAACGATGCAATATCCCTGAGAAAACGGGGATAGTGTACAGAGTATTGATCATGGCAGCGAAAGAGAACGTGCTGGTGAGACTGCGGAGCAGCCCTGCAAGTGCAGCCATGAGGCTCATTAATCTTGAAGCGACGGTAGTACGCTCCAATGGGTGCGTGGCCAGTTATACACCGGCAAACGCGAGCGAACTCAGTGATACTGTGTCTGGATGTTGAAAGCCAAGGTCCCCCATTGAGGTACGATGGCTGTATCAGCCGCCTGTCAGGCTGTTGAAGCTCTAAGAATTCAGAGCCTTGGTAGGTTGGGTCCTGGAAAGTGGAATTCTATGAGTCCAGGGCTGAGTGCGCGGCTCAGGAGCGTAGCGTGTCTATGGAGTTGTCCGTCTTACGACGTCCAACCCTGACCTTGAGTTCGGTGACGTACTTGTGTGCCTCACCATGGATGTCCCACCGCAGAGCAGATGGAGCGTAAACAAAGGTGATGTGGCAGAGATCATCTGCCTCAAACCACTCCTGGAGAGCACGACAAACTGACAGACTAAAAGCCTGACCAGAGTGCACGGAAGGGTCCACTGCTCTGTGGGCTGAGCCCATAGAGTCGGTAAAGACCATAATATGTTGGCAGTTTGCCTGCTTAACAGCAAGGCGCACTGCACACAAGATGGCATTGAGTTCTGCATCAGGGGCAGTGACTCTGCCAGAGACGTAGTGAGTCCTTTCGAGCTCACAATGTCCCTTGTAGATTATAACAGCCAAAGCCGCCTGATACTGGTTGGACTGAGGGACAGAGCCATCAGTTGCAGCCAGCACAGTTAAAGGATTGGCCCTCACTTTCGCGATGAGCTCGTCAAGATATGGTCACCTATCCTGGGTAGGATCGCACTCGTCAAAGTGGAGACGGTCTGCATAGTGGTCCAGTAACCAATCACCTGGGCGAGCTTCGGGTGCAAAGGGCTTGAAGCTCTCAGTTAAGGTGTGGATGCATTTGTCCACCTCCATGACGGTGCTCTTGACTGTCCCTCACATGGCTGGGTTCATCAAGGCGGCGGAGCAGGCGTGAGGTTCAGCCCGTTTGAGGAGTCTCTCACCCATCATGGAGCGAAGAGGGTGGCTACGCGATACACTGCACACGTTGCTAACTTCTTCAGCATAAGGTGGACAGGGATGAGACCTGCTAAGGCCTCAAGACCGCCTGTGGGTGAGGTGCGGAAAGCACCTGTGATCCATAGAGCAGCTTTTTGCTGCATCCGTTTCAACTGGTTCATCGTGCCCTTATTACGGGCGCCATCGTAATACCAGAGACGATAACCGTATGTGGCAATGGGAACCACACACGATCTGTAGAGGAGGCACTGCTGTTTAGGCGAGAGACCTCTGGTGGAGTTTCCGAGCATGCGCATGGCCTGCACAGTGGTAAATGCCTTGGTGGCATAGTAGCAAACATGCTCATGGAATGTGAGCCTGCGGTCAAAGTAGAAGCCCAAGTACCTCCAATAGGTCTTGGGCTTCAGAGGCATAGCACCGGTATGTGGGGCATACCCCAGATCCAGCAAGGGATTGTAGGCGTCTCATCAGCATGAAAAGTGAAACAACTCGGTCTTGTCATGTTCAAGGACGAGTGCGAAGGCAACAAAGAGATGGGTGGGGTTATTCCTCCTTTTGGAGGATTTAGACCTGCGCCCGGTTCATTCTTCCGCGCTTGCAGCCGCTATTGTAGCGGATTGCGGCGCCGCTAACTCTCTGCGTCTGGTTTCGGGCAGGCGCTTCTCTGGCTTGTTGGCCTTAAGACACCCTGCCACCTCCCGGGTGGTGCTTTTCTTATTTCATTTGCGCTGCGTGGCCTCCGAACAGCGTCCGACGACTTTGGGGTTTAGCGGGGCCTTGATGGTCTCTTCCCCTTATCCCACGTCACCGTTTTCGCGAGGTGGGTCTGGCTTTATGGGAGTTTAGGCATTTGAGCCATAAGGCTCGTGGTTGGGGGGGCGGATGTCTTTTAGTAGTTCACTTAGTACCCAGGCCACGTAGTGTAACTTGGCGGCATCCGCCAGAGGTCAACTGAGGATGCTGGATTGATTCTGACTCATCTCGTGCGAGCGGGGTGGGTTAAGGGTCTCCAGACTAGCGTGCTGGCTTTTGACATCGCGCAGTTCTTCCCTTCTATCAACCATGAGATGTTCATGGCTGTTCTTCGCAAGCAAGGGTTTTCGCCTGTTCTGGTGGAATTCTTTGCCTCTTACCTTGTAGGCCGCTCCACAGTTTACTGTTGGAACACCTTCCAATCCGACTTGCGGTCTGCGGACGTGGGTGTCGGGCAGGGCTCAGCTCTCTCGCCTGTTATCTCTGGGCTTTTCGTTGCGCCGGTAATGAAGCTCTTCTACATCAAAGCGGCGCCACTCAACATGACGCTGCTGTCCTTTGTGGATGATGGGACCATTCTGGCCCAATCCAAACAACTCGATGATAATAATGTGGGCCTGCGTAAGGCCTACAAAATTATCTACCTTCTCTTTGTTGCTTTCGCACTCGTTCTTGAACACGACAAGACCGAGTTGTTTCACTTTTCGCGTCGTCGCGATGCCTACAATCCCTCGCTGGATCTGGGGTATGCCCCTCATACCGGTGATACACCTTTGAAACCCAAGACCTATTGGAGGTACTTGGGCTTCTACTTTGACCGCGGGCTCACCTTTCATGAGCACGTTCGCTACTACACCACCAAGGCGTTTACCACCGTGCAGGCCATGCGCATGCTCGGCAACTCTACGAGAGGTCTTTCGCCTAAACAGCGCCGCCTCTTATACCGGTCGTGTGTGGTCCCCATTGCCACATACGGCTATCGTCTCTGGTATTTCGATGGAGCCCGCAATAAGGGCGCAATGAACCAGTTAAAACGGATGCAGCACAAAGCTGCTCTATGGATTACAGGTGCTTTCCGCACCTCCCCCACAGGCGGTCTTGAGGCTCTAGCGGGCCTCATCCCCGTCCATCTCATGCTGAAGAAGTTGGCGACGCGCGCAGTGTATCGCGTCGCTACCCTCTCAGACACTCACCCTCTCCGCTCTATGATGGGCGAGGGACTCCTCAAGCGAGCTGCACCACACGCTCGCTCTGCCGCCTTGATGACCCCAGCCATGCGAGGGAAAGTCAAGAGCACTGTCATGGAGGTGGACGAGCGTGTCCACACCTTAACTGAGAGCTTTGAGCCCTTTGCGCCTGAAGCCCGCCCAGGCGATAGGTTATTGGACCGCTATGCGGACCGTCTCCATTTTGACGAGCGTGATCCTGGCCAGGATAGGCGCCCATATCTAGACGAGCTCATCGCGAGAGCGAGGGCCGACCCACTAACAGTACTGGCTGCAACTGATGGCTCTGTCCCTCAGTCCAACCAGTATCAGGCGGCTTCGGCTGCCATCATCTACAAGGGACATCGTGAGCTCGAGAGGACTCGCTATGTCTCTGGCAGAGTTACCGCCCCTGATGCGGAACTCAATGCCATCTCGTGTGCAGTGCGCCTTGCTGTTAAGCAGGCAAACTGCCAACATATTATGGTCTTTACTGACTCTATGGGCTCAGCCCATAGAGCGGTCGACCCCGGCGTGCATTCCGGTCAGGCTTTTAGCCTGGCGGTGTGTCGCGCTCTTCAAGAGTGGTTTAAGGCGGATGATCTCCGTTGTATTACCTTCGTCTACGTCCCTTCCGCTCTGCGGTGGGATATCCATGGTGAAGCACACAAGTACGTCACCGAGCTCAAAGTCAGGGTTGGACGTCGCAAGACGGACAACTCTATAGATGCGCTACGCTCTCGAGCGGCGCACTCAGTCCTGGATTCGTGGAGTTCCACTTTCCAGGATCCAACCTACCGAGGCTCTGAGTTTTTAGAGCTTCAACAGCCTGACGGGCGGCCGCTACAGCCATCGTACCTCAATGGGGGACCTTGGCTTTCAACATTCGGACACAGTATCACTGAGTTCGCCTGCGTTTGCCGGTGTATAACTGGCCACGCGCCCATTGGAGCGTACTACCGTCGCTTCAAGATCAATGAGCCTCACGGCTGCACTTGCGGGGCTGCTTTGCAGTCCCGCCAGCACATCCTCTTTCGCTGTCGCGATAGATATTCTGTACACTATCCCCGTTTTCTCGGGGATATTGCATCATTTATGAAGTACAACCCTACGGCGTTTGGCTTCAACCGGGACCCCTCGGGTGTCGGATAATCGTTGTGGGCGGGGTTGTTCCTCCTTTCGGGGGATTTATGGTGAATTGACACCACCGAGCTCTAGGGTTCGAAGACCTGTGCCTACCGCTATTTCTTCGCGCTTGCGGCCGCTATTGTAGCGGGTTGCGGCGCCGCTAATTTTCTGCGTCTGGTTTCGGGCAGGCGCTTCTCTGGCTTGTCGGCCTTAAGACACCCTGCCACCTCCCGGGTGGTGCTCTTCTTATCTCATTTGCGCTGCGTGGCCTCCGAACAGCGATCGACGACTTTGGGGCGTAGCGGAACCTCGATGGTTTCCTCCCCTTATCCCGATGCACCGTTTTCGCGAGGTGGGTTGCCCTCTGGGGAGTTTAGGCGTTTGAGCCCAAAGGGTCTTGGTTGGGGGGGCGGTCGTCCTTTAGTGGTTAACTTAGTAACCAGGCTGCGTAGCGTACGTGTTTGTAGATAGCAAGCGGGCTGCCATCGAGCACCGCTATATAAATTGTTGATAAAAAAAAAAAAAAAAAAAGGCAACAAAGAGAAGGTAGATAATCTTGTAGGCCTTACGCAGGCCCACATTATTATCATCGAGTTGTTTGGATTGGGCCAGAATGGTCCCGTCATCCACAAAGGAAAGCAGCATCGTGTTGAGTGGCGCCACTTTGATATAGAAGAGCTTCATTACTGGAGCAATGAATACCCCAGAGATAACAGGTGAGAGAGCTGAGCCCTGCCCAACACCCACGTCCACAGAGCGTGAGTCAGATTGGAAGGTGTTCCAACAATAAATTGTGGAGCGACCAACAAGGTAGGAGGCAAAGAATTCCACCAATATTGGTGAGAAGCCCTGCTTACGGAGAACAGCCATGAACATTTCATGGTTGATGGAGGGGAAGAACTGCACGATGTCAAAAGCCAGCGCACTAGTCTGGAAACCCTTAACCCACCCCGCTCACACGAGATGAGTCAGAATCAATCCAGCATCCTCAGTTGACCTTTGGCAAATGCTGCCAAGCTGGTTTGGGTGAAAGATATCATGCTTGACAGCGTCAAACTGCATCCTATTGGCAATCATCTTTTCGATAAGTTTACCGAAAGTGATGAGGAGTATGATTGGCCTAAAAGCCTTCGGCACAGCATAGGAGGGCTTGTTTGGCTTCAGAACAATAACCGACAGCGACTCCTTGAATATGTGAGGCCAATGACCCACCCTAAGACAAGCGTTGGCCAACACGATGAAGAGCGCAAGGACGTGATTATCCTTGAGCAACTCCTTTAGGTGGACCCATGTGACGTGGTCCGGTCCAGATGCAGAGGAGTTGGAACACCCCTTAAGGGCACTCAACAACTCATGCTCCAAGAAGTCAGCCCACTCGCGGACCAGCTCATCAGGAAGCTCATCTAAGACTGAGGCGTCGTACTTGCGACCAGAGGCCGAGTTGTACGTGCTGTGGATGGCGTCCCAAAGGTTGTCCATATCATGACAAGGCCAGTCGCCATTGCAAATAGCCTCACAGGGTGGTAGCTTGTGCTGTTTGACCCACTCCATTAGGTCCCATGGGTGCTTGCGAGAGGTAGTGATTTCCGCGATGCGCTCATTGAAGAAACCACGCTTAGCACCCTTGCACGCCTTCTTAAATCTGTTGTAATCAGTGAGCGAACGGCTCAACTGATACACTCCGAATGTTTCTGAGCACTCGTCTGTCCACCAGGACTTGGAGCATTTGGTAGGTTTGGACTCAGTCGAGTGGGCAAGCCATGCGTCCGAGAACGCTGTCGCAATAGCATCAGCTAAAGCTTCAACGCCTTCCTTGGTTGCCAGGGCTGCAACAGGTATAGCCGCAAGATCCCGGAGGATGTCCAAAACGAAAGACTTCTCAGCCTCGCTTCCGGGTTTAATTGTCCGTTGCCCAGATCTGGGCGGTTCAGGTCCAATATCAAGATCCACACAGATCAGGACATGATCTGACGGACCCTGGAGATCGTGCTCCAATCTGGGCATCGAGATTAAGATCTCAGATGGAGCTAAGAATACAAGATCCAACACATTGGATCTATGGTTTGGATTAGGACTGATTCTCGTCGGTCCATGGTTAGAAGGTCATGCCCTATTGTCAGCAGCACTCCAGCACAAATTCACCAGGGCAAGGATAACTTGTTGAAGTCCATTATAACCAATCTAGATTTTTTCTCGCCATTCCGTCAGCTTGCACCTACTACTCATGGCCGCCACGGGTGATGTCGGTCACACCAATGTGTCACACCAAACAGATTGATTGACGACTTTAAAATCTCAAGTACTGGTCTTCGTTCTGCAAATCAAGCCACAAAACTTTGACATTAGATACTTAGATATATGGAGTCCATGAATGTAATATTAAAATCCAGTATGTCCCCCTCTTGCAGCTAGGACAGCCTTAACACAATGATCCATCTTTCCAATTTGATGATTGATAACCTCCATGGAAATCCCCTCCCATGCACACAAAATGGCAACACGCAGCCCATCGACAGTTGTAGGCGGATGTGGAAGGTGTCTGAGAGTTGATTTAAGAAGGTGCCATATGGGTTTGATGGGATTTAGGTTGGGCGAAGAAGGAGGATGTGGGAAGAGTGGGATGCCATGTTGGGCAAACCACCTCTTTGTGACCTTGCTGCCATGGCTGGGAGCGCCATCTTGCTGAAATGTCATATTCCCTCTCTCTTGGTTTAAGAGATAATAAAAAGGAAGGAGAACAGGCTCGAGAACCTGTTCTCGGTAGCGTGTAGAATTCATACCTCCTCCCTTGCCCCCTGGATACTCCAACACAACCAAAGGCCCTTTCCAATCCTCAGCGATGCAACCCCAGACCATAACACGTACTGTTGACTGCTTGAAGGTTGGAACTAGACATTCCTCCAGTAATTCTTCGTCTGGTCACTGCGTAACATAAATCTGACTGCGATCATCCCCGAGGTAAACATAGCACTCGTCAGAAAACATGGTACATCGCCAGTCGGAGGGCCGGAAAGATTGGTGGATGCGCGCCCAATTGAGTCGTTTTCGTTTATGAGCAGGTGAGAGGTACGGCACCTTGTGCGCAACCCTCCGGTGAAATCCTTGTGCAGCAATGACACATTGAATAGTCAAAGGTGATACGCAGGTGGCAAGTCGGTTTGTGATCTCTGTCAATGGCATTCATCGATGCTTGATTACTTCGTGGATGACCTGTCGTTTGCCATAGTTGGATAGCTTCTCTGACAGACCCGGCCGAGGTTTGTTGGACGTTTCCCCGGTCTCCAGGAAATGTTTGTAGATCCGTTGCGCTGTATGCTCATTGATGTTCTCATTCCGGCCCGCTGCCGCTGCATTTCCTGAGGCCTGGGCATAACCGATGATTCAATTTCTCGTGGGTGTGTCGATCTCATGGCGTGAGGTTTTCGGAGGTCAGTCCTGGATTCATGGAGTTCCACTTTCCAGGATCCAACTTATCGAGGCTCTGAATTTTTAGAGCTTCAACAGCCTGACAGGCGGCCGCTACAGCCATTGTACCTCAATGGGGGACCTTGGCTTTCAACATTCGGACACAGTATCACTGAGTTTGCTCGCGTTTGCTGGTGTATAACTGGCCACGCGCCCATTGGAGCGTACTACCGACGCTTCAAGATCAATGAGCCTCACGGCTGCACTTGCGGGGCTGCTTTGCAGTCTCGCCAGCACATCCTCTTTCGCTGTCACGATCGCTACTCTGTGCATTACCCCCGCTTTCTTGGGGATATTGCATCTTTTATGAAGTACAACCCCACGGCGTTTGGCTTCAACCGGGACCCCTCAGGTGTCGGATAATCGTTGTGGGCGGGGTTATTCCTCCTTTTGGAGGATTCCGGACCTTAGGGTTCGGAGACCTGCACCCGTTCCACTCTTTCGTGCTTGTGGCCGCTATTATAGCATGTTGCGGCACCGCTAACTTTCTGTGTCAGGTTTCGGGCAGGCGCTTCTCTGGCTTGTCGGCCTTAAGACACCCTGCCACCTCCCAGGTGGTGCTTTTCTTATTTTCATTTGCGCTGCGTGGCCCCCGAACGGCGTCCGATGACTATGGGGCGTAGCGGGACCTCGATGGTCTCCTCCCCTTATCCCGATGCACCGTTTTTGCGAGGTGGGTTGCCCTCCGGGAAGTTTCGACGTATACACCAGAAGGGTCTTGGTTGGGGGGGCGGACGTCTTTAAGTAGTTTGCCTAGTAACCGGGTCGTGTAGCGTACGTGTTCTGTAGATAGCGAGCGGGCTGCCATCGAGCACCACTATATAAATTGTTGATCAAAAAAAAAAAAAAAAAAAGAGGTTTTCGGAGGTGCCATTCACATGTATACAGAAGGTGTGTGGAAGACAGGAAAAGGTAAACAAAGAGATGCGACCTAAGCAACATGACCGTAACTATTACATAAGCAACATCACCCATGGCAGCCATGAGTATAGTCCATGCAGAAATCGCTATATTTAGCAACAGTCACAAGCTGAAATCACATATCGGCCTATTCAACATGCTATGTTTCCATGGAGTCTTCTATGGAACTGAATGGTGCAAAACAAATCTCCGTTGGTTTGATTGCTATGATGACTGGCTTCAATTCTATGATGATCTTCTCAAGGGAGGCTATACGAAAGATTCTGCCAAGAATTATCTTGTCAATAAAAAGGCTTATGGTCCCCATATGGGAAAAAGTTGCAAGACGGATGACATCAAAAGCTATTGGGAAATGAGTCTAGAGCATGAGGAGAAATATCTGGAAATAATTGGAAATAATGATCATTGGGCTCTCTACAAGTTTTTCCTGCTCTTTCCAGGTGTTGGCCGGCTTATATCTCTGCTCCTGGTTTTTTTTTTTTTTTATCAACAATTGTATAGCGTGCTCGATGGCAGCCCACTTGCTATCTACAAACACGTATGCCACGCAACCCGGGTACTAAGTAAACTACTAAAAGACGACTGCCCCCCCAACCAAGACTTGGTGTTGTGGGCCATTGCTTTGCATGGCAGTTATGAGTTCTTTTTTTCTGTCTTATGTCTTTATCCATCACTTTTATTGTGCTACTTAATTCATCCCTACTATCTACATACAGCAAGTCTACTAATAGCATACCTATGCCTTGGCATAAATGGCGCACACAGCAAGCCTCAAATTGCACTTCATCAGCTTTTTATCAGTATATTCTGCCACAGCACCCTCCAGAATACAATTTCTCTCAGTTTCAATTCCATCATAATACCAGACATCTCCTATATCTGAAATAATACGGGCTGTGAAATGATTAGAGCCAGCATAGATCACACCTCGGAGTGGAAGAATGTGCTTTCTTCCATCAATAGTATGTGACTTGACTGATTTGCTAATTGCAATTCCTGTAACCTCAATATTGAATACAATGATCTTTGGAGGTACATTGTATAGCCGCTGGACTTGTGCATTTGATCCACAAGTTTTGCAATGTTCCTCTGAGGCCTGCCAATTTTTAAAGGTAGCACTCACAGTTTTGTC